GGTGAAGTCACCATCACTGGAAGCGTTAAAAAAACCTGTGTAGATGAAGCACTTTGGGACATGGTTTAGTGGGCATGGTGGTGTTGGGTTAGCAGTTGGACTTGATGATCTTGAAGGTCTTTTGCAACCTTAATGATTCTGTAATTCTGTAATTATCGGGGTCCATATTCTAACATTTTTACACCAAACCGAATAAGTAACAGCTGAAATATTCTTTTTAAAAATTAAAAATATGGGATTATCCAGCTTCAGTGTGACTATAAAGGCATGGATTTATTGTGATTTAATGTTGCAAGTGTCGGCAGCACTGAAGATAACAGCTTTACTTTCTAACAGTGTCCTGCAGGCCAGGAGCTTCTGACAGAACATTTTATTAGAGAAAAACTCAGCTTTTCATTATTATTAAAAAGTATTTTAAAAGACAGCAGCTCTTGGTATGCTTCATCAGCATCAGCAACAATGGGAAATGTGTCTGGATGAAGAGCAAATAATTCCTGAGTAATTTCAGAAGGTAGGATAACAAACTGGAGCAGTAGGACACACAAAGCTAGTTCAGCAGCAGAACTTAATCTACACTCATTCTTTCCTATAACATCACAATTACTGTAGATATTTAATTTAAAGACAAAAATACTCCCTCAAAGCAAAAAAAATGACAAAGTCCTAACACAAGCAACTTTCCTTCTAAATCCCCCATAAACTATCTTGAGTGACAGCTGCAAGACAAGTCTCAATAACTCAATATAACCACAGGATTAAAAGGCATACATACCCCCAGATACTTACTCAACATACTTGTTCCACGAAGGAGCTGGAGAAGCCTTAGAGGACTCCATCAGAGCCATGAATGCACAATTAGTTATAATAGTGCACATGATAAACAAGGTGAATAATGTAAGTCACGGGAGTGAAGGCAAAGAATATGACATTGATTCAGAAATGTAACTAGATATTCACTCAGTCACAGATGTATCTCTTTTAAAGATATAGTTTAAAGCATAAAGATAAGTTTAAAGCATATGTAAGAAGAGCATGCACATGTACTTGCTGGTTTTGAGTCATATTAGATGACAACACACTACTGTTGTTATTCATGCCACCTGGACTTCCGTATGGGCTAGAGGTCTGTTGCTCTAAGCACTGCAAACTTGGTGAAAGGATTCTCAACCACTCAAAGAGTGGGAGGAATGATGCATTTTTAGTTTCATTTTATAGTATAAAAGTTAAAAACTTGCCCAAGGTCACACAGATGAAGCCCAAACCTGACTCTAAATTGGCAGAGCTGCAGTCTTCTGAAGGGACAGCGTGAAGTCTGCCAGGATGCTTGTAGGTGTTGCTTGTAGGTGTCTCGAAGGACTCCAGTTTGGCCAACTCTTGGGGCTGCTCAGCTGCTCTCTGGGGTACCTGCTGACTCTAGGGTATGAACGCGAACTTGGGTATCTATCTGGTTCTCATGCAGATATCTAAGCCCAAGTGCCTGGCTCTGGAGCTGAATGTCATGCCTTGTGTCATACCACACTTTTTGGCAATCCAGGAGGTAGATGTGCATGGGAAAGACATCTAGCCTTTCCATCATCCATCCTCTCCATTCTCACAAAAAATCTCCTGGCTTTAGCTCTAGGCATCGTCAAACTGTCACAAGCCCACCAGCTGGGCCACTGGTGCCAAAATGTCAGTATTAGCCAACTTGCTGCCTGGGAAAAGCCTCAGATGAGAGGCATCAGTCCTCCAGGGATGCCTGTACCCTGCTATGATGACATCTTCGGACCCATTGCGGCTAACTCAGCACCACACAACCAGGAAATGGCTGGAAGCCTAAAATCTATACAGGGACACCACAGACTCTGCACTGGGCCTCATTCAGCCCCAAGAGACAGTGTTACTACTCTGGTCTCATTCCCCAGCGCCAACCTGGAGCAATAGACTAGTGATTCCCATTCCCTAAATTTGATGTATGTGGTAGGATCTATATTACCTTTGTATTCCAAAGGCATGCCCTGCAACAACATCCTTGAACATTTTCACTTTCATATACCAAAGATATATTTTTTGATCTGATTTCCTAAAGAAACAAAGTTTGCGTGATTTTCTTGCTATGTGTTTTCATATGTGTGCCTCTATCTCAGCCCTCTTAAAATTGGCCAATGGTTAATCAGCTTTGGCACATGAGTTGAATTCAATTCCTACAGTTTGGGTGAACAGAAAATGAGAAAGACCTTATTAGTCTTCTCAATGAGAAAGGCTTCGGCATGAGATACTTGTTTATGAGACATCAGATAATTGATCAGTCTGAAAACACAAATCTGTAGAAAATCAGGCTTCGATATCCCCAGTAGTCACAGAACTATTTATTCCTAAGTAGCACAAGAGCACAAAGACAATAATAATTTCTAAGGCAATTCATAATTAGAAGTCATCTGGAGTGAGGAAAAGACTAGAATCATTCAATGGTCTAAAATATAAAAGCACAGGATTACATATTTTGTAACAAAAGTGAGCAAATGGAATCAACAAAAGGATATGAATGTACTAAAATTTTAATTGCTGTTCTTCGAATTGGATGGAAAGGACTGAGGATCCATAAGGCACGTGTAGCAGTAAACCTGAAGATTGTTTTCTGTTTGTTTAGCACTATGAAAATCTTTTTTAAAAAAAAAAGAAACATGAAAGAAAGTTTTCAGAAAGTTGAACACAGAACATATTTCTGTATTATATCCTGTTGTATCAGTGACGAGCAAGAGCTTGATTTTAACTTCAGTCTGTTTAAATAGGAAGACTCTTTGTAATCCTTTGCTATCCTTTCATCATAAACTGATTATGATGAAATAATAATAATAATAATAATACCATTAACTGTCAAGCTGCAAAAAAATACTCAACATGAACTTCTTTTTCAAACCTTAGGACTTGCAAAGACTTGTGCACAGAACTAATCTTTTCTCTTAAAATGAATTTAACATCTCATTGAGTCAAGATATACAGAAGTGGAAGGAAGAATTGCAGCCTTTATCATTATTTGCTGTTGTTGACAGTGATGCTCCAGCTCTAAGATTGTAGAAATTAGTTCAAAGTATTAAACATTTCTCAAGCAATAAGCTTCATTTCCAATGAATGAGTTCACATTTCTCTGTTCTTTATTGAAAATCATATTCTTCAGTATTTCTTGACTAGAATATTGAGCTTGAATAGGTAGGTTTTAAGGATTTATGTGCAAATGTTTTAAAATAATTTTTATACTTAGGTGATCATTTATTGTACATGTAAGTGGCGCATAAGCATCGAGATAGAGGAACACACGGTTTCAAACCATGGAATTCCAGAAAATTTAGAACATTATTATAATTTCTTGTAAATCTGACTCAAACCTTCCTTTTCTTCCTTTATCCATTTTATCTTTTCTGCTCTCATTCTGATTCAAATGTTAATGAAGTTCATATTATTTAATTCCTATAATTCAAAATTAAGCTTTTTGTAAGAAGATTACAGCATGTGATTCAGCTGTGCCAACTGCTTGCATTATTATAACCTAGAAAGGGATAGTAGTTTTTCCAAATGGATGTACGCCACACTGTTTGATAGATCATTCACATAAACACTTCTTAGCAACACAAAAGTATATATTAAAATCCAAGCATCTTCATTGGCTCTAACCTTACGATCTTTGTAGTATGGGTCAAGATCCTCCAGTGGTTCCCCAATGAGATCTGGAGGAGGATTTCCATAGAGAGCTGGTAACTTCTGGAACGCTTTTAGGTCAAGTTGAGGACGTGGTTTCTCCTCAGGTTTCTGGTCTATAGTATTTCTTCGACAATTCCTCTTGGCAGCAATTCTCTTATCGATAGCAGCCAAGGATTCGTAAGTGAATTTACGGAATTCGTTGGTACCGAGTAGTAAGAACTCAGCCATTTTTCGTTCTTCTCTTCCTGTCACTGACTCTGTTCAAATAATAGAAACAAATAGAAAGGAAGTCAAGTAACTCCAAAACAGGTAAGTTATGAAAACTGAACAACTGGTTGCCCATGCATGGCTAATAACAAACTTCCTGAGCCATCAGCTTCTAAAAAGAAAAAAAAAAAAAAAATGTATCAATACCTTTTTCAGTGAGATGTCTGTTTAGTTGGGTTTTTTAAATTATGTGTGTCTGATAGGATGTGGGCAGACCTCTATAAACTTAAGAGTGTATTTAGAGCACCGTGTTTAAGACACCTGTTATCCTCAATGCTTTTGAACTGTTATTCAGAAAAAAACCTAAGGTGCTGCTTTAACTCAGTATTTGGAAATGGGACAGTGAAACTCATCGAACTGCAACATCAAATATGCAGAAGCTGTGTCTGCAACAGAAGCACCAGGTATTAAATTAACTAATGCAGATGTAAATACTCAGGTGGATAACCCATCCTGATCGTGTCAGCACGGGAACGAGCAGTGTCCAAGCGTCAGAAGATTTAACTCGTGACTCACAGAGTCAGTACTGACTGGAGGACAAAAATTCTTTATCTGAAAAGTATCAAGCACAAAGTTTATATTTTATGCCCACTTGTCAGAACAACAAAAGTGAGATTATACTAGAAAAGAACTTTGCGTTATTTAATGGAGAATTTTGGTCAGATATTGGATAAGATCCATTCAAATAAATGCTACCTGAATCCATACTTGGGCAGTACAGTGAATCCAACCTTTACCTTAACACTGTGAAAAGCTTCAAGGCAAGACCATGAAGTGCACATATATTGAAACAAACAGTGAAAAAACTGGAAACGGTACACAGGGTGAGAAGATCCAGACCTGCATCCTTGTGCTAAACTCACTCAAAAGCTCTATAAGGCAATTTCTCTACAATATGTTCTTTGATTATGACCTCTAGGAAGACAGTACAGACATGGAGCTACTAAGCCAGTGCAGTCCCACCTGCAGACTGTGAAATGATCCCAGCTGGTCAAGGACTTTACCTGGGATGGATCACTGCTGAGTCTGCATGGAAGATCACATTAGTGGCACATAACCAGCTCTTTCCATCCAGAATCTGCTACCACCACTTCAATGTGTCCTTCAAAGTTGACTCCATAACTAGCAGTCAGAGCTTATCTTGGAAGGTTTAAGCTGTCCTTGCTAGACAACTGCCAGATGATCTACCTGCTCTTGCACTTTTCCTTTCCAGACACTATACGCAATATCCCAGGAAAACGCAAAGTCTGAATCAAGAGGGTTTTTTACTTAAATAATTTCACAGCCTGTGTGCTGATCCCTGTACCTTCCCTCACCGTGCAATGCCGTTTCAGATGCGTTCAGATTCAAATACAATATTTCAGTTGTCCTCACATTGCTGAGCTCTAGGAAACCATTGCTGTGAGAACAACAGTTGGAGGCCAGTGACAAACTTACCGCAATGAAATATCTTCTTTTTTGCAGTTTTCCTAGCTCTCCCATTAAATAAGCACACAAAATGATAAACATGAAAAGTAGCTCTTGCTTCCAGCACAAAATAGCAACATTTTTGGAAGAGAACTAGGACTTTCAGGCAAGAATACTAATTATTTTACACTTTTTGAGATCAAGGTAATAGTCTGGAAGCCGTGCATAGTATTATAGAAAAAAATGAAAATTATAACATTCACTCCCCAGTTTTCAAGTCTTCAGATAGCCAAAATGGTATTTGTTTTGTTGATGCCCAGAGTAATTTAGATGTTGCAGTATCAGTAATGAGAGCTGTGAATGATGCATGAAATGACACAATTTCTCTGCAGTGCACAGAGGGAATACAGTAATTACTTTATTCTGCTTTGTGCCAAATCATCCAAACATATCCATCCTTCCACACAGCACTTCCATAAAAGTCTACTTGATCTCAAAAGTTCACCATTAAAATTCTGGGTTTCTTGCAGGTTTCTTTGTGTTTTTGTCTCCTTTCTTCCATGAAATGATCTTTCAAATCCTGGAAAAGAAACTTTGATTGTCACACTGTTCTCCCTAGATTTGCAGAGCAAAATCTAGGGAGACAAGGTGTCGCTGGCTGAAGCCAAAGATGGGGAAACAGGAGAAAGCATGAGAGCACGTAGAGTCTGCGGGTCCTTGGCCAGAGCTGGACACCAGGCAGGGGAGGCTTTCCTGGTGGTTTTATAAATTGCTCCTCGGGTGAACAAACATTAAGGAAAGAAAGTCTTGTGCTTGCTGTCTCACATCAGTAGCACAATTTCCATTGATAGCAGCCACAAGCCGTGGAACAGAAGGCTAAACTACACTTTTCATTCATGGGTAATCCTGAGCTACTCAGCCTACTTCTTAATAAAATCTAATGATTATCAAAAATAGAGTAATCCAGAAAAAATATTCATGATCCATTCAAGCATCTTTAAAGATATCCCCAACATAATTTCTGTTACTCATAGTCTCAGGGAGGGTAGCATACAAAGTACAGCTGAGATGTATTTATTTTTCATATGGCCAGGGCTAGATTTAGCAATTTGACCAAAAGAGATAAGAAGTGTTAATGCAAAATCATTTTGGCCTTGATGTCACAGAAAAAACACAGTTTCATTCTGGCCTTTTCTCAAGATTTGAAATAGTGTGAAACTTCACACTACACAATAATGTGAAGTTTAACATTTCTTTAAAATTAAAAGTTTTCTTATCATTTGACAGATTGAAGATCAGTGAACGCTGAATGAAATCAATATGGTTAAAGAATAATAATAAGAAAACAACAACAAAAAAAGTGCTTATGATTTGTTCTTTTAGCCATCAAACATATCTCCTATAAATTATTTTTCAAATACTAAATGTGTAGCTAGATAGTTTTGCAAAGTCAGATTGCTTTCCTCCAAATGTGTTTTCCTCTTTAGGAATATTCATTTTGACAGACTAGGAAACAAGATTATTGTCAAAGATGTTTCCTCTTCTTTTCCTGCTATTACAAACACCCCAATTCAATCCTCAGCTAATGAATAAAAGTTGTTCTCAATTATTTGATTTCCTGGCTTCATGATCTATTATGGAAAGAGGTGAAAACATGTTGACAGTTACTGTGATCAGCATGACCAAGGTAATTAGTATGATCAGAAAGGCCAGGACTACCTTATTACATTTTTTTTCTTTAGCTTGGGTGATTGCAATACTTGTCTGTTAAAAAGACTTTCATAATAAACACAGAAATTATCTCTTAACTAACTGGAATAACAGTTGTTTGAAGACTGTATGTGTGTCCTGGTTTCAGCCGGGATAGAGTTAATTTTCTTCCTGATAGATTATATAGTGCTGTGTTTTGGATTTGGGATGAAAATAATGTTGATAACATATTGATGTTTTGGGTTGTTGTTGAGCAGTCAGGGACAGTCCAGCTCCTCGTGCTGGCCAGCCAGCGAGCAGGCTGGGGGGGCCCGGGGAGCTGGGAGGGGACACAGCTGGGACAGTGACCCAGGCTGGCCAAAGGGATACTCCATACCATACGACATCATGCTCAGTATATAAAGCTGAGACGAAGAAGGAAAGGGAGGGGGAACATTCAGAGCGATGCCATTTGTGTTCCCAAGTCACCATTATGCGTGATGCAGCCCTGCTTCCCCGGAGATGGCTGAACCCCTGACAGCCCATGGGAAGTGGGGAACGGATTCCTGACTTGGCTTTGCTTCCGTGCGCAGCTTTTGCTTTACTTAAAGTGTCTTTATCTCAACCCATGAGTTCTCACTCTTATCCTTCCGATTCTCTCCCCCGTCCCACCATGAGGGGTGCGAGCGAGTGGCTGTGTGGGGCTTAGCTACCGGCTGGGGTTAAACCACAACAATGTGAACAGCCTTGTCTTGTTGGAACACCTGAAATGTTATTAATGTCTTTAATGTAGTTTATTTTTGTACACGTTTGCATCTTAGTGATAATATCCAATGCCTGGAGGTGCAAAGTTAGGGACTCTAGACTGACACAGCTGTTTGTACATCCAGTAATTATTTCAGGAGGTGAGAACATTGATATGGACCTTGGAAAGACGTGCCACCTGTACCACCCAAAGTTACTATGGTAGACTTGGGCTGCTTTGCATCTTTCTACATTTGCATTTCCAGCAGGTAAGACAAATATTTCTAGAACTGAATACGGAAAAGTTTAGCTAACAGCAGTTCAAAACTGTGTAGAACTGTTCTATTCTTTCCTCAAAAACTTTTCTACATTTTGAGGCAGATGATTATTCAAATTAAACTGACATTGTCTTAATGTTATTTAAAATATGTATGAAAATAACTTCTGTATATTAACACAGGTAATTTTTTTACCATAAAATAATTCAGGTTGGAAGGGAACTCAGGAGGTCTCTAGTTTAACCTGCTCCTCAAAATGGGTCAGTCATGAGGTCAGGGCTTTATCAGGTAAATCTCTAAGGACATAGACTGCACAACCTCTTTCAGCAACCTGTTCCAATACTTGACTGTCTCAATCCATTTGGACCCCTTATTATTTCAGTTTATGACCCATGCCTCTTGTCTTCCCACCATGCATCACTGTAACAATAAAAAGAAATAAAATATTGCATTAATTTGAAAGGTAAAAGGACACACACCCCCAAATGCCTCTATATAAGGAAAACAAATACTATACCTACTTCAGCCCATGTAGTCTACCTATATATAGCAGCCTACAGGAAACATCTCACACATCTGAATAACACCATCTGGTGCAGCTCCATTGAGATTCCAAGGGAGACAACAATCAGCATATTTGCTCATTAGTTTCTCACCTTTAGAACATCATACCTTACCTGAACTGAGTTGTGGCACACATCCTTTGAATATTCCAGGTTCAACCCCAAAATTTGTTTACCTTCCCTAGACAACCCAGCTGAGAGCTCCAGTCCTCTGAGTCTCCCAGCATAGCATCTGAATGAAAGGAGATGGCAACAGCTGATCTAGCTACCCTATATCCTC